GATCAGATGGCTTACATAGGTGGGGTTTTATATACATTCTATGTCTCTTTGCAAATTATAAAGTAATACTTGGAGAAGTCACACAACTTGCACATTGTTGCCAGGGTCTGGAGCATAGATCGAGTTCAGTTGTTCCTGGATACACATTCTGTCCCATACAATCCCTCTCTGTAATTTCACTCATGGAAATAAGAAGACCATCTCATCCACCCCTCACCTTGCTCACTGTGTAACAGAGATTTTCTTCATCTTCTCTCTCTTCCTTCCATCTAACTCAGTTTCCCTTGGTCTCTGTCTCTCACATATTGTCTTAATTTCCCCATGCATGGTGTTTTGTTATATATGTTGTGATCATCACTAGTCTATGCGAGCCTCAACTCAAGATTCACTTGTTCCTACTTTCTGAGATCTGTGATTTACAGCAACAAGCACTAACTGAGCACATTGGGATTTTGTTTTGTTTTCTGTTAGTCATCCAGCACTCTCTTCTATTGTCAGTTTCTATGTGTGTATCTCTGTTCAGGTTTGTCTGTCTATATCCCTCCCATCTCACTCCTCTTTTCCTCACTCAATCTTTAATTTTCTCTCACTATGTTTGTGGGTCTTCCTGCACCCCCCTTTTAGCCCACCTTTCACTCTGTTTCTCACCTTATTGTGGTACCCCTTTCCTTCTTTTTGTTTGTGGGTATCTCCTCATATTGTCTCTTCATTTGTACCTGTCAGTTTCTCAGACATCTCTGTGGCTGTCTGTGCCTCAGCTGAAATGATGGGATCAAAGGCAACAGAAATTCTCATCCAGTTCTAAAGACTCTTCTCTGGATCCAGTGATATATGCAAAGTTGAAGAAACCAGCCCATTAAACTTTAAAGCAAAAAGGAAGTCTCTGTCCTTGGATAAACAATTTGCGTCCCCATAAGGATTCAGTGGTGCAGAATCAGCAAAGGCCCATTCTCACACCTCTGTGAGGACACAGTGCAGGCATTCACTAGCTGGGCCCAGCTGAATGATGCACTTCATCGCTCAGCACTGTCCTCCCCCATTCAGGAAACAGTGCTCAATTCTGCCCAAACCCGCCCTTTCACTGGACATGGGAATGAGTGTCCCTCCAAAGTGGTAGGAGCTCTGCACCTGCCATGGTCTGAGAATGCTTACTCTCTAAAAGCTACACAGAAGTTACACCTCCTGTCAATTCCTTGCCCATCAAGAAGCACAATAAACAAGCTTTGAATTTTCCATTTACCAGCCTGAGGGAGAGAAGTGCTTTACTTTCCACAGTTTTCTGAGATAATGACTACTTGTGCCTTTTGCTATTTGTGGGATCAGTAGCCATGATCTCATATTTATAGCTGAACACATCCTTCAAGCAGCTTGTGAGAGAAGAGAAGAATCTTCCCATTTGTCTGCTCAGGTAGAAACTTACCTTAGAGCGGAAGTTTTGTTGCTGTTATTAGCAAACGCATTTGCACACAAATCGCACTGAGTGAATACCAGACTGCTAACACTGACAACCCACAGACTTCCTACTTAAACTTCCTTGCTGATAACAATTCTGAAAGCTGACTTGTAAATGGAAGCACTTGAAGGACAACATGCAAGGGATGTGCTGACATCCCAGGGAAACAACTATTGTCCTTGGAACATGCTCTGAAGCTCACTGGTTTCTTATATAGATAGTAATTTGTATGCGTATACATGTATGGATGTATACACTATAAACAAGCATGCCTTTTTGTGGTCACATGAACAGAGCTCTGTGTGCATGCATGTGCATTCACACGTGTATGTGGATCTGTTTGGATGTGTGTGGGCAAACATGTGAGTACACGCTTGTATGTCTATGCCTGTGTCTACCTGGCACAACAGTCTCTGACTTACATTCAGACTGACACCGACTGACATTCACCCCTTCAACTTCATCCAATTCTGTTACTGCGGGTGACACATTACCAGTGCAGCAGACAGGAGATGAGGCTGCTCCTTCTCACCTTCACAGTCAACCCCAAGGAAGGAAGGCCTACATTTTAATGTCTTTACATATTCACTCCTCTTGTCGCCACTCTAATCTTAGTGACCCTAGGATTGAATACAAGTGAGTATTTCTTCTTCACTCAGTTTCGAGGTGTTTGAACCTGTGGCTTTGGGAGAATATAATCTTGCTGTAATTATTCAGTTATTCTTCTTTCTCACAGAGTTCCCACAGTTCTTTACACTATTTTTGCATGCAGCTCAGCAACATAGGAGCAGGAAAAGGATACACAAAGCCCCACAAGTCATCTCTAGTTGTCAGCACCATCCGTAACCTTATGAAGTGACACCGCACACAGACCTGCTGCGGTGAGGAAGCATGTGTCACCCACAGGTACCCTTTGGTAGAAAAGTGTGGCAAGAAGGTTTCAGAGAATTCCTTTGAACTGCAATGATAATTCCAATGATATCATTTTGCACTATTATTGTCTGTGTAAAAACAACCAGGACATTAAGTCACACAATGCTTTTAGCAAGTTAAGGATCCCAGGAGGAAAGAAAACTCCTTAAGAAAATTATAAAAAAATAGCAAAAAAAAACCAGCAAAAATATGACAGTAACCCAAATCTATGATTAATCAATAAACATGACATCACAAGCAAAGAGGCATCTTTAGACAACATACATGATCCATTCAGTAAGATACAATGAGAGTTCCTCAAAGGTGGCCCAGAAGGAAAAGGCACTGACAGCCAAGACTGATAAAATGAGTCACATGCCTACCCTCTCCTACCACATGGGAGAATGAAAGAGCAGACTTCTACAAGTTGTCCTGAAGCCTCCAGAGTTATCCCATGGTATGGGCATGTCTGCTGACATATGCACATACATCAAAAAATCAACCCAAATAAAATATGAATGTAAGAAGTGATGCATGGCATGTGCCTTTAATCCCAGCACTCGGGAGGCAGAGGCAGGCGGATCTCTGTGAGTTCGAGGCCAGCTCACTCTACAGAGCGAGTTCCAGGACAGCCTCCAATACAATACATTGAAACCCTGTCTCAAAAAAGCAAACAAAAAAAAGAAGTGACGCAGTCTTTTTGTCTAGATTATTATTGCTAATGATTTGAATGTACTCAAAACCACTTATTTCTATGCAGCGTTGGGAAGGCAATATCATATGTCTTTTAAATGCATTTTACACACAAGGGTCTTTTGTGTTTAGAATAATGTTGGGGGTAAGTATTAGTTCATGAGAAGGTCTGTGATTTTTTTTTACACCATGAATTCAGGAATAAATGGCTCTGTTAGAATCATACCTTCACTTTTACAACACAGGGCACCAGATCCTCAAACTTGATAAATTGGCCATACCTGTTTTTTTTTTCATTTTTAGTCTTATAAAACAGTCTCATTTTTATTCATGAAGCCCACATGATCTGGTGGCAACAGAGAGGAATAATTAATAAAGCAACAAAACCCGGAACTTTTGACAATGCCAGTGCAGGCAGAAGTTTGTTTGCCTGCCTGCTTGCCAATAGTGGATGAAAGAAAGGAAATTATTCAGAGTTTCAATGTGGAACTATGTATTTACATTTACATCCACTTATCTCAAATTCAAAAGCACAGATACTCTGTGTCACTGATTTTATAATTCTCATGCTTACTAATCTCATCAATTATTCATTAACATATCATCAAGTTAAGAATGCCTCATAAAGATTTTATTGAAATGTCTTTATATGCAGTATTCACAGTTACTCCATCAGGTCGTGAGTGAGTCTCATGCTCAGACCTGCTCTTGTCCCTTTGCCTTTACTGCTTAGGAGTGACATTTATGTTAGGGTTCTGCGGACTGGCTCACTGAGCACCAGCCTGGGGTTGAGGAGGTTGCCTCTCAGTGGACCTTTCTCTCACAGGAGGAGTGCAGAGGGAGGCAGAGGCATCAAGTTTCTGAAACTTGAAGACTCTCAGGTGCAGATAAACTGTGACTCAAACTCAGCCACAGATGAACAAAATAAAGGAGCACAGAGCAGAGGCTAAGAAAAAGCCACACATCTTTATCAAAAGCCTGCCTGCGGAGCAAACAAACTAGGGGCAACATTTTTAGGCTTAAAATATGCCTTTCCAGAAAACAACTTAATTCCTTCTCTAAAGTTAAGGGATACCACAGTTAAGGCATCTGATTACTATTCTTGACAACCAGCCCTTTTCTGTAAGTATGGCTTGCATTCACTCGGCAGAATACACTGTATTCTAGAGAACCCAGGGTCTGCAGGTCTGTGTTACAATCCTATTACACTGATGGCTTTGTTTTCAGGGGACACACATCAGAATCCCAGGAGACAGAGTGTGAAGCTAGTTATCCAGGACCCAGTTCCCCAGCCAAAACATGTCTCTAAAGTAGGAAAGCTGATAATACCACATAGGACTACTTTTGTGTTAGCAAGCAAACATTGGCATAGATACAAGTCTTCTGTCCCCAGACACTTTCCAAAAGTAACATGTTTACTAGTGCCCTAAAGAGGCAATAATAACACCACTCAGATACACAATACAACAGAACAACAGGCAGGTCCAGCATTGTGCACCATTCCCTATATCAAGTCACTTACACATTAATACTTCCAGCAACTTCTCGCATAAAAGCTAACACTGGTGTTTGTGCCCATAAAACACAGCATGCCAGGTTTTATATTTTCAAGGGGAGATAAGCAGAGAAAGCCGTTTAGACTTTTTTTTTCTTTTTAAGTCAGATAAAGCAGTTATAACTCAAATGCATTCATATTACATTGGCATCTCAACAACAACAACAACAACAAAAAAATCACAAGACCACTCAGGCATCAGGAAGTAAAGGGGACAAACAATTTCCAGAAAGTAAGTCTTTGGTCACCACTCCTGTATGCCCTGAACAAACAGGAGAGAAAGTGATGTCACAACAGAGAAACATCAGGTCAGAATAACTTTCCATGTCCCGCGGAGCTCACTGCAACCTTAAACTTAAAAAGGGTACGAAAAAGATGGGAACTTACTTGCCGCTTAAAGTTTCATCTTCAGTCGGTGCGAGCTCATGCAGTAACCCTCTGCGCCCGGATCTCTCCTGCACATCCTTTTACAAACCACCAGTGTTGGCTCACTCACACTAGTATCAAGATGATTCATTCACAAATTATGCTCGTTTCTGATGAAGCATTAATATCCGCGTTCTTTTCATCACACACACAAAAAAAATCGCTACTGGAGATGAATAAAACACAATCCCTTAACATATTAACCGAGGAGGCACCCCATCCTCCCCCTCCATGTTCCATGCAGCATGCCAACTGCCTCAGGTGCTAGGGGAAACTAACTCCAAGCTGCTAGCCACAGATGCCCTCTATCTGTGGCTATTAGCTCAGCTCCTTGGTCAGCTGGCTGAGAAGCAGCAGCAATTAGCTCCCCTGCTCCCCTAGGCTTAAACAGGAGATAGTTGGATGCGCTCAGCCACGAGGAGGCTGCTGAATGCCTTGCACCAATTAGTGGCCAGTGTGGTGCTAGGGCCCCAAAGACAAATGGACATTCCACTCTCTGTGCTGCTGAGGGCTTTATTATTCTGCATCCTCTAAGCCTGTCTGGTGGGCCTCTGATCTTTTGTGTGATCCTTTGTACTGTTTTAGTTAAACCGGATTAAGAAGTTCAGTGTTGATATTCGGTGATAATATTATTGACCAGGCAAAAATAATGTCTTTAGCTCTGTTCGCCATCGCCCCCTCTTTCTCTCTGACTTGTTTTTTCCCAATCCCTCTCCTTAAGTACAACTTCTAAAACCAATGCTTTCACATCTGCGATCCGTAGGGGAAAACAAACAAACAAGCAAACAACTCATTCATTCTGGAGACAAAAGTAAACATTAAGGTTTTTATAATCAAGCATGTCACAAATAGGGTGCTATGATGAAACTTAGCCTGAAATTGCGTCTTTTTCTAAAACATTGTGATACGGTACCTTCACACTGATTTTTAGAATTGTATAAACTAGTGAAAGTTAGCTGTGGTGAGCTCTAACCAGAGTCACTTTTGGAACAAACACAACTATGTTGCAAAGTATTTATTCAAGTCAAATTAGAATTTCCCAATAAATTTCAGAAGTTATACTAGTGGGCAGAGTAAAGGCAAATATTCTAAAGCCTCAGCCATAGCCCTGTCCCCTTATACTCTGAAAGGCCTGCAATCCCACTGGGCTCCCCAGGTGGACTCTGGGGTGCTATCTTGGTCTGTCACCAGAGGGTCACCTGGAGAAAGTAGTCTTTTGTTCCCAACCCATAAAAAGAGAGGAATTCAATATTTGCTAACAACGTGAACAGACTCATTTGACTCAGCTGTCACAAGTGAGGGATACATATATATATATATATATATTAACATATATATATATATTGAGAGCATTGGATAAGCAGCTGCTTCAATAACTGTAATATTGTATTAATGAAAAAGTCACCCCCTCTCCTGGTAAAATTCAATTATAACTTCCATGACACATCAGAAAGTCAGCCACAACCCAGAGAATCTCATCTCTTCCTTGTCTTCTCTGAGAAATTAGATCATCAATAGGCTGTTTCCTGAAAGAGCTGAGTTTAATTCTTTTTTTCCTAATGAAAAAGAAATGATCACATCTCTGTGTTTAGATACTAGTAGAAACATTTTTAAATTAAAATTCAGCAAACTGCAATATCATGCGGAGTTTACAAGTAAATTCTATGCAGACAGTTTAGAAACAGACCGGAAAAGGGGAGGTAGTGTCTGAGAAAATTAAATAATATATTAACGTAGAAGGCAGGCTACTATTATAATAATTTCAAACAGGATAGAATACTCCAGACTTATTCCCACTCCTCTGGCCCTCCATCTCTCTCTACCTCTCCTTCTTCATAAAGCTCAGTTAAATTCAACTCTGTATACTCTTAAAGAGCCATGATTTCATTTATTCAATAAATCTATAATTTAATTAACACAAATATTTCATGACATGCCTGTGAGACTATATAGAATAGGCACACTTTCTTTCCCCCCATACATTGTCTTTTTTCTTTTTCAATTTAAATTAGTAACAAGCTTGTTTTACATGTCAATCCCAGTACCCTCTCCTTCTCCTCCTCCCCTGCCCCCACTATCCCCTAAAATACACATTTATTTTAATTAGCGTTTAATAACACTTATTTTGGTATTTTCTTTTTTTACTTTGATTTCATTATACTTATTTATGTGCTTGTTTCTTTACTCAAGGTGTGGGTATGTTTGTATCTTTGCACACGTTTGTGTATGGAAGTCAATAGGCAACTTACTGTAGTCTGTTAGATTGTTGCAGCAGTGTAAACCCTGGATATCCTACACTTAGTCTTCAAACAAGTACCTTTACCCATAAGATATCTCACAGATCTGGATGCTGAGTTTCTCATTTTAGTGTCTGTTTAGAACCTTAGTTTAACACAGATACATTTCCAAACTCCACCTGACTACTGGAACCAGTGCTTTGACTTATCCAATATGGTACCTGAAAGCCCTGTGTTCTGTCTAGGGACCTTAATAATGAAATAAAGAGGATTTATTTCTTTTCATGACAAACATACTTGCCATGAAGAGTGCCCACTAATATGAGGACTTTTTCTAGTGTCCCCGACTTACAGTGGCTAAGGTGTATCACCCTTAGCAGATGGCCTGTCTTATGAAATATAATACTTAACTCTAGCAGGCAAAGAATATGATTTGAAGACATGGCAGATCATCAAAAATGCAAGAAGCTAGGCTTATCTTATTTAAGAAGAAATAGCATTTACATATTTGGGGAAAATTAAATATTGAAAACCATTAAAAGTGAAAAATGTTTAAATATTAAATTAATATTTTGTTCATTTCTGTTTACAGTCACATATTTTCAGCTAAAATAAATCATTGGATATAAAGAAAATTGACAATAGGGAAATTACATTTAAAACTTTAAAATTATAAATGAACTGCTAAATTTTTTAATCTGAAGGAAAATAGCATACACCCTGGGTCCAGAAAAGCAGCCTATCAGATACATATGCACAGACATTGCAATACCATAAGGTATACGAGCTTAGCAATATCAACTCACTATTGGACTCCTCTCTCTCTCTCTCTCTCTCTCTCTCTCTCTCTCTCTCTCTCTCTCTCTGTCTGTCTCATTCTCTTTTTCTCTCTTCTCTCACCCTCAACTATCCTAGGGAAGTCCTCTATCACTGAGCTGCCGTCCTAGTCCCTGCCCATTATTTACTCTCTGAACTTTATTTTTTACTTCTGTTATCACATTCTGATCCCAAAGTAGCCATTTGTATACACTTAACAATTATTTTTACTCTTGTATGTTAGTACACAACATTATGCTATGGTGTATCCCCAAAATTTCATAATTTATTATGATTGCTTTTCTGAGTGTTTTCATAAAAATACGCTGTCACATTCTATATTTTACAGAGCCATGAAACTGAAAGGGAGTTCTCTGGCTTCTTGTCTACCTTATATGCCATCCTAAAACCCTCATCCAGTGGATGAAGGAAGCAGAGGCAGACACCCACAGTTAAAAACAGAACTAAACTCCTGGAACCCAGTTGCAAAGAGGAGTGATGAGCAAAGGAATCAAGAGCCGTCTGGCAAAACCCACCGAGGCAGCTGACCTAAACAAGGGGAAACACATGGATTCCAGACTGACTACTGAGAGGCCAGCGGGGGACTGATCCTGATCCCCTGAACCTGGGTGTCAGAGTGGAGGCTTCGGCAATCTGTGGGACCTCAGATAGTGGATCAGTATTTATTCCTGGCATACAAATGGACTCTGGGATCCCATTCCACATGATGCTCTCTCATCCTGGACACATGGGGGAGGACCTAGGCCCTGCCCAGAATGATATGACAGACTCTGAAAATTCCTCATGGAAGGCCTTACCCTCCCTGGGGAGCAGAGGAGGGATGGAACAGGGTGGGAGCTGGGGAGATTTGGGGGACTGGGGGAGGAGGGGAGGGAGCTGGAAGTAATGTGTAAAATGTTAAATAAAAAATTATCTAAAAAATCACCCCCTTCTACATGAACTGTGTCTTCATAAACTTCTGTGTTTGTGTACCCCCTTCTACATGAACTGTGTCTTCATAAGCTTCTGCACACCAGTTTTTAGGGAAACAGTTAAAAAACAAAACACACAAACACAATTTTCTTCATCTAGTCATTTAGAATATTAACTTATTTTAATCATAGATTGATGAAGTGAGTTTACCATTATGCAAATCGACTTCTCTTACTGAGGGCTAACCAAAAGTGTAATGTGTTCTTTGGAGCACCTCAAATTTTTATACTAACCAAACAGGATATTTCTTACAGGCTTTAGACATTGGTTTTCTGGTGGGAAATGTTTTAAAGAATCTGATTAGCATGGAGTAACCAGAAGTAAATATCCCACACTATTCTTAAATATAGCCCACTGAGACAACAAGATGGAAGAAGACTTTTTTTCTCTCCTTGGAGAATGAGGGCTGGTTGCTTGAGTCAATAGTTATTGCAGAGTAAAGAGGAGAGAAATCATTTCCCTCAACCAAGACTAAAGCTTTGTGTATAAAAGTCTCAGCATTATCCCCCAAGTAGCCTGCTACTATAAAACAGGGTCTTCCTTAAATAGCTAGGATCAAGCTTTTGCCAGTTTGTTAGTTACTATTCCCAGTTGTTGTTAGCTAAAATCCAAAGTTGCCAGTAAACCTCATAGTAAGACCTAGAGACTGGAGGCCTGGGAATTGTCTATGCTCACACCAGTAAGTCTTTGCCACACAAATCCATTATATACATTTGAAACTATAATATGCTTACAACATTTTCCCTCTTTACTTTCTCCCCTACATCATTCCCCATGCATTCACCCATGCAATCCCTGAAACACAGTAGTAGGAGAGTTAAAGTGTGGTAAGGATGTGTGGAAAAATAAAGAATCATGGTATTCTCCACCTCCCTGATACTACATACAATTCATCTAAGTCTGTGTACACATTCACATATAAAGCCTTAATGAAATTTTCCCATCTGGGCTAACAATGCTTCTCTTAGACGTACTCCCCTTTGAAAAAGAGAAATTCTAACACTTTTACTATCAAGATTCAATAATGTATATTTAATTTCATTTCTTGCCAGCAGTATTCAATTCATTTCATTAACTCATGTACATAAGGGTCAGTTCAAGGGACAAGAATGTGAGGACCCTTGAATAGTAGGACCAAATTTGTTACAATAAACAGCTAGCTTATAAGAGTAACTTGTGAACCTGCTGGCCACATGGAACAGGGAAACAGGTAGGCTAGCTGCAGATCTTCACTTTTCTAAATGCTATACCTGAGCTTTTTAACAGACCACCCGCTTTGGCATCCCCCCCTGTTCCCATCTTCAGCAGATCATGCACATCTTCTCCAA